AAAAAGACAATGAGAATGAAAAAAAGAAAAAAAAAAAGAAGACAAGAAGAACAAAAAGAAAAGAATTGAATGAGAATGAAAAAAAAAAAAAGAAAAAGAGACAAGATCACAGAAAGACAGCCGTTGATGAGAATGAAAAGAAATGAAAAAAAAAAAAAAAAAAAAAGAAAGAAAGAACAAGAAGAACAGAAAGACAAAGATGAGAATGAAAAAAAAAAAGAAAGACAAAGAAAGAATGAAGAATGAAAAAAGAAAAAAAGAGAACAAAAAGAATGAATGAAATGAAAAAAAAGAAAAGAAAAGAGAGAAAGATCACAGAAAGACAGCCGTTGATGAGAATGAAAAGAAAAGAAAAAGAGAGAAAGAACAGAAAGACAGCCGTTGATGAGAATGAAAAAAAAGAAAAGAAAAGAGAGACAAGAACAGAAAGACAGCCGTTGATGAGAATGAAAAAAAGAAAAAGAACAAGATCACAGAAAGACAAAGTTGATGAGAATGAAAAAAAAAAAGAAAAGAGAGAAAAGATCAAAGACAGCCGTTGATGAGAATGAAAAAAAGAAAAGAAAAAGACAAGAAAAAAGACAGCCGTTGATGAGAATGAAAAAAAAGAATGAAAAAGAAAAAATAGAAAGACAAAAGAATGAGAATGAAAAAAGAAAAGAAAAAAGAGAAAAGATCACAGAAAGACAGCCGTTGATGAGAATGAAAAAAAAAAGAAAAGAAAAAAGACAAGAAAAAGAAAGAGAATGTTGATGAGAATGAAAAAAAAAAAAAAAAAGAAAAGAAAGATCACAGAAAGACAGCCGTTGATGAGAATGAAAAAAAAAAAAAAAAGAGAAAGATCAAGAAAGACAGCCGTTGATGAGAATGAAAAAAAAAAAAAGAGAGAAAAGAAAAGAAAGACAAATGAAAAAAAAAAAAAAAAAGAAACAAGATCACAGAAAGACAATGTTGATGAGAATGAAAAAAAAAAAGAAAAGAGAGACAAGATCACAGAAAGACAGCCGTTGATGAAAGAATGAAAAAAGAAAAGAAAAGAGAACAAGAAGGAAAAAAAGACAAATGAGAATGAAAAATGAAAAAAAGAAAAGAAAAAGAGAAAGAACAGAAAGAAGAATGATGAGAATGAAAAAAAAAAAAAAAGAAAAGCACAAAAGACATGAGAATGAAAAAAAAAAAAAGAGAGAAAATAAGAAAGAAAAGAATGAAAAAAAAAAAGAAAAGAGAAAGAAAGACAGCCGTTGATGAGAATGAAAAAAAAGAAAAGAAAAAGAACAAGATCACAGAAAGACAGCCGTTGATGAGAATGAAAAAAAAGAAAGGAAAAGAGAGACAATATCACAGAAAGACAGCCGTTGATGAGAATGAAAAAAAAAAAAGAGAGACAAGATCACAGAAAGACAATGTTGATGAGAATGAAAAAAAAAAAGAAAATAACAAGATCACAGAAAGACAAGATGATGAAATGAAAAAAAAGACAGAAAAGTGACAGAAAAGAATGATGAAAAAAAAAAAGAAAAAAGAGAGACAAGATCACAGAAAGACAGCCGTTGATGAGAATGAAAAAAAAAAAAAAAAAGAGAAACAAGATCACAGAAAGACATGTTGATGAGAATGAAAAAGAAAAAGAAAAGATCACAGAAAAGACAGACAATGAGAATGAAAAAAAAAGAAAAGAGAGACAAGTTGAATGAGAATGAAAAAAAGAAAAAAAAAGAGAGACAAGATCACAGAAAGACAGCCGTTGATGAGAATGAAAAAAAAAAAAAGAAAAGAGAGACAAGATCACAGAAAGACAGCCGTTGATGAGAATGAAAAAAGAAAGAAAAAGAGACAAGATCACAGAAAGACAGACGTTGATGAGAATGAAAAAAAGAAAAGAAAAAAGAGACAAGATCACAGAAAGACAGCCGTTGATGAGAATGAAAAAAAGAAAAGAAAAGAGAGACAAGATCAGAAAGACAGCCGTTGATGAGAATGAAAAAAAAGAAAAGAAAAGAGAGAATGAGAAAGACAGGTTGATGAGAATAAAAAAAGAAAAAAAATAAGAAAGAAAGAAAGAAAAGAATGAGTTGATGAAAGAATGAAAAGAAAAAGAAAAGAGAAACAAGATCAAGAAAGACAACGTTGATGAGAATGAAAAAAAAAGAAAAAAGAAAAGAAAAGAAAGACAAGAATGAAAAAAAAAAAAACAGACAAGATCACAGAAAGACAGCCGTTGATGAGAATGAAAAAAAAAAAAAAAAAGAGACAAGATCAAAGACAGAATGTTGATGAGAAAAAAAAAAAAAAAGAAAAAAGAACAAGAATGAAAGACAGCCGTTGATGAGAATGAAAAAAAGAAAAGAAAAAGAAACAAGAATGATGAAATGAAAAAAGAAAGGAAAAGAGAGACAAGATCACAGAAAGACAGCCGTTGATGAGAATGAAAAAAAGAAAAGAAAAGAGAGACAAGATCACAGAAAGACAGCCGTTGATGAGAATGAAAAAAAAGAAAGGAAAAGAGAGACAAGATCACAGAAAGACAGCCGTTGATGAGAATGAAAAAAAAGAAAAGAAAAGAGAGACAAGATCACAGAAAGACAGCCGTTGATGAGAATGAAAAAAAGAAAAGAAAAGAGAGACAAGATCACAGAAAGACAGCCGTTGATGAGAATGAAAAAAAAGAAAAGAAAAAGAGAGACAAGAACAGAAAAGACAGCCGTTGATGAGAATGAAAAAAAAGAAAAAGACAAAAGAGAAAGACAAGAATGAGAAGAAAGAAAAGAAAGAGTTGATGAAAGAATGAAAAAAAAAGAAAATAGAGACAAGATCACAGAAAGACAGCCGTTGATGAGAATGAAAAAAAAGAAAAGAAAATAGAGACAAGATCACAGAAAGACAGCCGTTGATGAGAATGAAAAAAAAAAAAGAAAATTGAGACAAGATCACAGAAAGACAGCCGTTGATGAAAATGAAAAAAGAAAATGAAAAGAAGACAAGATCACAGAAAGACAGAATGATGAGAAAAAAAAAAAAAAAAAAAATGAGACAAGATCACAGAAAGACAGAATGATGAGAAAAAAAGAAAAGAAAAAGAAAAGAAATGACAGAAAGAAAGAATGAAAAAAAAAGAAAAAGATCACAGAAAGACAATGAGAATGAAAAAAGAAAAGAAAAAGAGACAAGATCACAGAAAGAAGTTGATGAGAATGAAAAAAAAAGAAAAAGAAAAGAGAGACAAGATCACAGAAAGACAGCTGTTGATGAGAATGAAAAAAAGAAAAGAAAAGAGAACAAGAACAGAAAGACAATGTTGATGAGAAATGAAAAAAAAAGAAATGAAAAAGAACAAGAACAGAAAGACAGCCGTTGATGAGAATGAAAAAAAAAAAAAAGAAAGACAAGATCACAAAAGACAGCCGTTGATGAGAAAAAAAAAAAAAAAGAAAAAAGAGACAAGATGAAAAAGACAGCCGTTGATGAGAATGAAAAAAAGAAAAGAAAAGAGAGACAAGATCACAGAAAGACAATGTTGATGAGAATGAAAAAAAAAAGAAAAAGAGAAAGAAAAAGAAAGACAGCCAGTTGATGAAAATGAAAAAAGAAAAATGAAAGAAAAAAAAAAAGAAAGAAAAGAAAAGAATGAAATGAAAAAGAAAAGAAAAAGAGAAAAGAACAGAAAGACAGCCGTTGATGAGAATGAAAAAAAAGAAAGGAAAAGAGAGACAAACAGAAAGAAAGAATGAGAATGAAAAAGAAAAAAAAAGAGAGACAAGATCACAGAAAGACAGCCGTTGATGAGAATGAAAATGAAAAGAAAAAGAGACAAGAAAGAAAGAATGATGAGAATGAAAAAAAAAGAAAAGAGAGACAAGAAAAGACAGTTGATGAGAATGAAAAAAAAAAGAAAAAAAGAGACAAACAGAAAGACAGCCGTTGATGAGAATGAAAAAAAAAAAAAAGAGAGACAAGATCACAGAAAGAAAGTTGATGAGAATGAAAAAAAAAAGAAAAGAGAGACAAGATCACAGAAAGACAGCCGTTGATGAGAATGAAAAAAAAAAAAAAGAGAGACAAATCACAGAAAAATGTTGATGAGAATGAAAAAAAAAAAGAAAAAGAGACAAGAATGAAAAGACAGCCGTTGATGAGAATGAAAAAAAAAAAAAAAAAGAGAGACAAGATCACAGAAAGACAAATGATGAGAATGAAAAAAAAAAGAAAAAAGACAAGATCACAGAAAAGCCGTTGAAGAATGAAAAGAAAAGAAAAGAATGAAATGAAAAAAAGAAAAGAGAAAAGATCACAGAAAGACAGAAATGAGAATGAAAAAAAAAAAAGAAAAGAAAAGAAAAAGTGTTGATGAGAAAGAAAAGAAAAGTTGATGAGAATGAAAAAAAAAAAAGAGAAGAGAGACAAGAGATCACAGAAAGACAGCCGTTGATGAGAATGAAAAAAAGAAAAAAAGAGACAAGATCACAGAAAGACAATGAGAATGAAAAAAGAAAAAAGAGACAAGATCAAGAAAGACAGCCGTTGATGAGAATGAAAAAAAAAAAAAAAGAGAACAAGAACAGAAAGACAGCCGTTGATGAGAATGAAAAAAAAGAAAAAGAAAGACAAATGAAGAAAGAATGATGAGAATGAAAAAGAAAAGAAATGAGAAAGAACAGATGAAAAAAAAGAAAAAAAAAAAAAAGAAATCACAGAAAGAATGATGAAATGAAAAAGAAAAAAAAAAAAAGAATTTGAGAATGAGAGAAAGAAAAAAGAAAAAAGAAAAAAGAATAAGAAAGACAAAAAAGTTGATGAAATGAAAAAAAAAAAGGAAAAGAGAGACAAATCACAGAAAGACAGCTGTTGATGAAAAAAAAAAAAAAAAAAGAAAAAGAGAATGATGATGAGAAGAAAAAGAAAAGAAAAGAATGAAAAGAAATGAGAATGAAAAAGAAATGGAAATGAGAAAAGAATGAGAAAGACAATGAGAATGAAAAAAAAGAAAAGAAAATAGAGAAAGATCACAAAAGACAATGTTGAATGAGAATGAAAAAAGAAAAGAAAAGAAGACAAAAACAGAAAAGAATGAGAATGAATGAAAAAAAAAAAAAAAAGAGACAAGAACAGAAAGACAGCCGTTGATGAGAATGAAACAAAAAAATGAAAAGAGAGACAAGAGAATGAAAAAGCCGTTGATGAGAATGAAAAAAGAAAAAAAAGAGAGACAAGATCACAGAAAGAAGCCGTTGATGAGAATGAAAAAAAGAAAGAAAAGAGAGACAAGAAAGAAAAGACAGTTGATTGATGAGAAAAGAAAAAAAAAATGAAAAGAGAAGATCACAGAAAACGAAAAGAATGAGAATGAAAAAAGAAATAAAAAGAGAAAAGAATGAGAAAGACAGAATGAGAAGAAAAAAAAAAGAAAAGAGAGAAAGATCACAAAAAGAATCCGTTGATGAGAATGAAAAAGAATAAAAACGAAAAGAATGAGAATGAAAAAGAATAAAAACGAAAAGAATGAGAATGATCTAGAATAAGAATGAAAAGAATAAGAATGAAAAAAAATGAGAATGAAAAAGAATGAGAATGAAAAAATAAGAATGAAAAGGATTCATAGCTTTCCCATGGCTATTAGCACGTAAGTGAATCTCAGTCATTTATGTGCCATGCGTGATACACGCTTAGGCGATCATGTATCTTTCGATACATGACTGACGAGGCAGTTTTTTTCCCGCAGTAGATTGCCATTTCTTTCTGGAGTAGACCAGTTGCCATCCAAGGCTATAGGACCCGGTCTGTCCTGCTATTTACTCATAGCTGGAGAGAGAAGAGGAAGATTCATACCTTTCCCAAGGGTATTAGCATGTAAGTGAATGTAATGGATTCGGATGAAACTCACTACTCAGCCGTAATTGGTCTAGCGAGACAAACTTGCTAACATTTACACCGCGTCGTATTACTCTAAATAATTTTCTAAACGTAGCTTATATGTGGCGCAAGGTCGTATGCGTGGAGCACCCAGGCAATATCGAACTCAATATTCAATCGTAATTGATCCAGCGAAACAATCTTAGTAACCATTACAACACATCGAATTGCCCGTTCCTAGGCGTAGCTTTAGGTGTGACACAAGGCCGAAAGTATTAGGGCACCCAGTTCCATTAATGATTCCAACAAGTTGAAACACGTAAAAGTAACGTTTACAGCAAAAAAAAAAAAAAAAGATGGGAAGGGAATGTATAACAAAGTGGAAAAAACTTTTAATTTGACACACATCTCGTTTTTTAGGACTTCATAAGAAGAATCGTGTTACACGAAAACTTTTTCACATTTTGTCATACATTTCTTCCCAATATTGTTCTTGATATATAAAAATTTATATACAGTACTAGCAGTAGAGCCCGGCGTTGCCGGGGATGTAAGAGTAATAGGTAGATCAAGTATCGACCATCACAAAGACTGAAAAATAAAATTGACAAAGATTATTATTTAAGGTTGAAGGACACGCATGTCTTAATTAGATTTTTTTTTTGTTTTTTTACGAATTGGTCAAACCCAAACTCAAACAAAAACATTGTTTTCAATTGGCTTGTAAATGGAATTTTGAAAGCATTCTGAATGTAAAAATAAAGAAAAAAGTGTGCAAGACAATAAGAAACACTACCTGCCAAAAAAAAAGTGAAGTTTTGTTGAAATCGGTTGAAAAATGTAGGAAATCCGATCCCATATATAAACGAACACACACACGCACGCATTCACGCACACAGAGACACACAAACAACCTGGGTTTTAACCCGATGTGAGTTGTCCCCCTTTCATTAATGCCTCTTAATTGTGTTTTCAAATTGATTTTGTGCAAAAACAATTGTGTTTTTTTCAATTTTTGGCACTGTTAGAACCACTGCAAGGTAATTTTACGTAGTCCTGTGAAGTTTTGTTGAAATCGGTTGAAAAATGTAGGAAATCTGATCCAATATATAAACGGACAGACACACACACACACAATCTGCGTTTTATAATAAGTAAGATAGTTGACTCACCTTTCATTGTGTATGTATGTTGTTTTATTATTATTTTTTTAAGGGTCGCGGAGATATTTCCTGTCTCGTCGTATTTTGTGTGTGTATATATCTAAATACATCTGCGTGTTTATGTATTATAATCTGATTGTGTATGTATTGTCTTTTGCAAGATATCATCCTCCCCTGCCTCTGTTTATGCTTCCAATGTATCTATGTTGTCATGAAGTTCAGAGCAACATTTGATCTTAACGTTTATTCCAACTTAATTTCAATAAAAACAAAATAAATAGAATAACATGTATTTATTCTTTTTTTCTCAGTAATTTTATAATTTTAAACTTAATATAGATTAAATTTATAATGGATAATTTTTAATTTCAAATTTTATCGTATGATTTAATATTTATTAGTTAGAATAAATTCTTTTTTAGTCTAACCCCAACATTAAAGCATTAAATAATTATTATAACTTAAGTTTGTTGTCAAGTTCTTTGAATTCTCATATACTTGTATTTTGATTGGTCATTCCAGCTTATGTAACAGCGTTTTCCCTTAGCAAGGAGTGTTTGATTGATTTGAACCTTTTAAAACCCTTTATTCTACATTCAACATCATCACTTGATAAGACACCAGAAGTGTTGAAACAAAATGGCTATTTTTTGTTGTGATTTTATAACATTTTATGTTATAATTTTCGAATAAATAATTATATATATATATATATATATATATATATATATATAGAGAGAGAGAGAGAGAGAGAGAAAAGGTTATAGTTGTTCCAAGAAGAGAAAAATGTATATTTTAAAAATAGGGAGAAACTGCAAATATATATATATATTTTTTAATCTTCATATGAAGAATAAAATATCATATACATACTAAAACAAATTCATATTATAATCAGAAACATTTGCGGTTTCTCTATTTAAATATATATATATATATATATATATATATATATATATATATATATATATATATATATATATATATAGTTTTAAGGTGTATATATGAAGAAATATAGTTTTAAGGTGTACTATATTTATGGGGAAAAAGTGCTCAATATCAGAGATAGAGCGTATATATATATATATATATATATATATATATATATATATTTATGTAATATGTATATATAAATATATATTTATATATGTATAAATATGTACATGTATAAATATGTATATGTAAATACGTATGTATAAATTTGTAAATTTATATATATATATATATATATATATATATATATGTCTGAATGTATACGTATATATATGTATAAGTTTCCGGAAGTATATATATATATATATATATGTTTGTGTGTGTGTGTGTGTTTATTTAGGCAAATTCTCTTTTAGGGTTGTCTGAAAAATTTCGTCAATATGATTATACGGAAAAATATTCGGGAATATAAACTGATTAATATAGAAATAAGCAAACATAATGTTTGTAATTTATTCAACCACACACATACACAAACATACATACACACAAACACACACACACAGATATATATATATATATATATATATATATATATATATATATATATATATACACACAAGCTTGTGTGTGTGCGTGTGTGCAAGAGAGGGGAGAGGGAGACTTAGAGAGAGAGAGAGAGAGAAAAGAGAGTATTATGTAAATTAGATTTATTGATCTAATTGATCCACTAATAAAAATAACTGTAAGCTAAGACCTCATCATTATTATCATTATAGTCATTGTCATCATAATCGTCACCGTTGAAGAGGACGCCATTGCAAAAAACTGGTTGGAAAATATCAAACAATGGACAGGTATGACTGGACCAGAATTGCTTGTAACAGAATTGCTTTTTATTATTGTTGAAATTTATTTATACATTTTCCCGGATTTTCTGCATTGCATTTAAGGTACATCCTCATCCGATTTGTAGAATGGATCGAAAGCAAAAAAATCATATATATTTCTGTTCTATATATATATATATATATATATATATATATATATATATATATATATATATATATATATATATATATATATATATCTTAGTGTGTGTGTGTGTTTACACGTTCTTTTATAGATACAAATATTTAAGTAAATGCTCTGTTTATAATAATCAGTATTAATAACATTTACCGGCCTGAATGTCCGAGAAATTTTCATGTTTTTTATGTTCATACGTATAAGAACGTATAAACATTTAAAAAATGTCTTAAATAATTGTCGAACTTTGACCATTTCACAATGTGTGACGTCATTTGTTTACATTTTGATACGCATTGAGCAAATATGAATGAATGAGAGAAAATCATGGAGAATTGTGTTTAAAAACAGTAAAATCGACCTTGCTAACCGAACGCTCCTCTGTGGCCCAATCGGTTAAGGCACAGCAGGCTATATGACGGTTTCGTATAGGACACAGGAGGACGAATATTTTCGATGAAAATTTCTCGGATATTCAGGGCCAGTAAATGTTGTTAATACTGTTTATTATAAACAGAGCATCTACTGAAATATTTGTATCAAAATCGTACGACTCATAAAACAATCGCTATAACTTGACTTAAAATATTTTTGCCCTTCCTTGCCTTTAAAGGAGTGCCCTTTGCCTTGCTGATGTTGCTACATGCCTTACTTCTTGCCTATCTCACACTGTGAATTTTTCTAAGCTCTATACTAAACATTAAATCTGTTACGAAAAAAGAACTAAACAAAATGAACACAAAACGATCAGCTTTAAAAAAGGACTCGTAACTGGAAAAACTGAATGAAAAAATAATATTAACAACAAATACTTTTTCACGCCCAACCCAGTTCTGCGGAATCAGAATCAACGTTGAGTTTAAGCAAGCCAATTGGAGTAAAGTGCCATACAGATTTAAATTTTTCCCACTTGTGACGAATGCAGCTATCGATTTTTTTTGCATGCTAGCATGCTAGTTAACATTCGTCTCAGTCAGCTGTTGGCTCTCACGCTGGCCAATAGAATCTTCCTGCCTGTTTGTGGCAGCCAGCTATTGGCATTCACTCTGACCAGTACAAAATGGCCGTAAACTACAAGAAAACTGCCGTAGAAGCTTGAAAAATCGATTATTTCCACTATCGATGGGATTTGGGAAATGCAAAGTCAGTCTTGGCTTTCCCGCTAACTTGGAGCATGCGCATGTAAATTTTGGCGCAAATCCGTCGAAAATTGCGGCCGTGCATTCGTCACACACACACACACACACACACACACACACACACACACACACACACACACACACACATACTTTTTTATATATATATATATATATATATATATATATATATATACAGTGGAACCTTAATTCCCGAATTTTATTCGTTCCTGAAGCCGTTTGTAACCCGAAATGTTCGTAAATTGAAACTGTTTTTCCAATAGGAATCAATGTGGAAAAAAGTCACAGTACAATAAAATTGAAAAAAAAAAGCACAACACAACGCAAGAATGGATACAACATGGCGGTCGACTCAGAAATTATTCTGTTCGGGTTTGCTCGGTTTGGCAATGTTGTTTGAGAACCGAAATTTCTGTTCGAAAACCGATTTGATTTGTTCGACATGTGACACATTCGACAATAGAGGGTCCTCTGTATATATATATATATATATATATATATATATATATATATATATATATATATATATATTAATTGATTTAAAATATGTTTTTTTTTCTACACAGTTCTAACCATGTTTTCAAAAAATGGAAGCTAAATGCCCCGAATTTAATTTTGTAATTAAATTAAAGACATTAGTTTAATTACAAAATTAAATTCGGGGCATTTAGCTTCCATTTTGAAACATGGTTAGAACTGTGTAGCAAAAAAAAACATATTTTAAATCAATTAATTTATAATATTAATGCTCTGTAAATTTACATTGAGCACTATTTTGTAAAATAAAAATATCTATAAGAACACCGGATTATATATCTTACTGTTCTTCTTTATATATATATATATATATATATATATATATATATATATATATATATATATATATAGAAGGACTCTTCGCAGATGCGAATTGAGTCACTGTCGGTCACTGGGCGTGTTTGTAAAAAATAAATACGTTAAAAAATTCACTTTCATCCCTACCGTGCGCCGACGGCTTAAGAATCTCCGACTGGCACCAATTCAGTCGGGTTTCGATCCTGGCTAGAGGCAACCGGATGTCTAGCCACACTGATGAGCTGTGAAACAGCGAAACAGTCTGTCTGTGGATGACGTTATATATATATATATATATATATATATATATAAGGCAGTGTGTGTGTGTGTGTGTGTGTGTGTGTGTGTGTAACGAATGCACGGCCGCAATTTTCGACGGATTTGCACCAAAATTTACATGCTCCAAGTTAGCGGGAAGGCCAAGACCGACTTTGCATTTCCCAAATCCCATCAATAGTGGAAATAATCAATATTTCATGCTTCTAGTGTAGTTTTCATGTAGTTTGCGGCCATTTTCTATTGGCCAGAGTGAAAGCCAACAGCTCACTGACACGAATGTTAACTAGCATGCTAGCATGCAAACAAAAAAAAAACGATAGCTGCATTCGTCACAAGTGGGAAAAATTTAAATCGGCATGGCACTTTACTCCAATTGGCTCATTCGCTTGCTTAAACTCAACGTTGATTGTGATTCCGCAGAACTGGGTTGGGTGTGAAAAAGTATTTGTTGTTAACATTCTTTTTTCATTCGGTTTTTCCAGTTACGAGTCCTTTTCTAAAGCTGATCGTTTTGTGTTCATTTTGTTTAGTTCTTTTTTTCGTAACAGATTTAATGTTAAGTATAGAGCTTAGAAAAATTTGCAGTGTGAGATAGGCAAGAAGTAAAATGTAGCAACATCAGCACGGCAAAGGGCACTCCTTTAAAGGCAAGGAAGGGCAAAAATATTTTTAAGTCAAGTGATAGCGATTGCTGTGTATGAGTCGTACGATTTTTGAATCAAGCACGGTCAACGCCAGGCCATGCTGCTATATATATATATATATATATATATATATATATATATATATATATATATGTGTGTGTGTGTGTGTGTATCTCATTTTGTGTGTCTATTTGATATGTCTCTAAAATCCTTGGACACAATTTAATTATTGAATTTTGAATATTGCTATAGAAGTAGATGGCAAATAAAAAAAATATGTTCTTTAGATATTTTTTGTAAAAGAATCTCATTACGAATATTTTGCCCGGTTATTTCAATCTGAATAATTCTTTGTATTCAATGTTGAAAAGAGAGAAAAAAAAAACAGATAGGATGCAGACATAATAGAGCCGCCGGTAGCAGACCCCTTGTGGAGTTCATCAATATAGGCCGCTTATATCATTAAATCTGGTTTACGTTCATAAAGAGGTTGAAAATAATCAACACGTTCAGTATCTGCTTGCCGCTGAATGAAAACTTCAGCAGTAAATCAGTCTCTTCAAAGAACATTTCAGGCAGGTAAAAAATGCAATGTATTTTAGATTTAGTATGATTTATCTCTATCTATTTTTAAAATATCTGCTTGCATCTCAGTGTGCAGTGGTGCCGAGCTTCTCATGAGTTCAGTCGAGAGATGTTTTGACTGGCTGCAGGATAAATCTGCACATGAGACTGAACTGCAAGCAGTATATCCAAGGTGGAGATATTATGGCATCCCTGGGCTTCAAGGAAGAAATCAATGGCCAGGGAAGAGGGGTCTCTCGAGGTATAACAAAGCTTTCAAGTCATCGGTTGTTAAGTTAATGATTGAGTAAGCTCATGACGAGTTCTATGGCAATGAAATATCCGTAGAAGTTCCCCAATCGTGTCATTAAATATTTGAGCTTAACAACTTTAACAAAATATTGTAATAACAATCATAAATATGAATGCTGGTCGTTATTTTAAGAAGTAAGGGGGTACAAATGAAAAGATTTGAATTTGACAACTTTTTTTTATTTCACTGAAACAGCCATTAAACATTTCTATCTTTCTTTTCTTTTCTTTTCTTTTCTTTCTTTCTTTTCTTTCTTTCTTTCTTTTTTCTTTCTTTCTTTCTTTTTTCTTTCTTTCTCCCTTTTCATTCTTTGTTTCTTTTTATTTCTATTCTTTCTTTCTTTCTTTGTCCCTTTTCATTCTTTCTTTCAAATTATTTCCCTTTTCCTTTCTTTCTTTCTTTCTTTCTTTTTCACACTGAAATCAAGGAGCATCTTTTCCTCTCTTTCCATGTGATCAAGACAGAATAGTTCATTATTTATTACGTATTGACAGATGTTAAACATTTTTATATTCCCTTCTTTCTTTCTTTCTTTCTTTCTTTCTTTTCAGTATCTGTCTATATTTCTGAGATGAGGTATTATGTACACTATTTACATTATTCAGACTATTGTCCTCATCTTTGTCACCATATTTATTACAACGTTTCGGCCTTTCAGTATCTGTCTATATTTCTGAGATGAGGTATTATGTACACTATTTACATTATTTGGACTATTGTCCTCATCTTTTGTCGCCATATTTATTACAACGTTTCGGCCTTTTCAGTATCTGTCTATATTTCTGAGATGAGGTATTATGTACACTATTTACATTATTCAGACTATTGTCCTCATCTTTGTCGCCATATTTATTACAACGTTTCGGCCCTTCAGTATCTGTCTATATTTCTGAGATGAGGTATTATGTACACTATTTACATTATTCGGACTATTGTCCTCATCTTTGTCGCCATATTTATTACAACGTTTCGGCCCTTCAGTATCTGTCTATATTTCTGAGATGAGGTATTATGTACACTATTTACATTATTCAGACTATTGTCCTCATCTTTGTCGACATATTTATTACAACGTTTCGGCCGTTGTACGCTCCGGCCTTCTTAGGTGGTTGGAATGTCGAACTGAACCCTTTATTTCGCTCACTGGGTTAGACTGTTCTAGTTCCACGTGCCATGTCTAATGGATGTCAGTTAATTATCTCCTGGAGAACTTACAGAGGGTAATTAACAGGAGATAACTGCTAACTGACATCCATTAGACATGGCACGTCTACTCCAGTGAGCGAAATAAAGGGTTCAGTTCAACATTCCAACCACCTGAAGAAGGCCGGAGCGTACAACGGTCGAAACGTAGTGATGAATATGGCGACAAAGATGAGGACAATAGTCCGAATAATGTGAATAGTGTTTCTTTTCTTTCTTTCTTTCTTTCTTTCTTTCTTTCTTTCTTTCTTTCTGTGATGAGTTATTATGTACACTATTTACACTAGGCAGGCTTCTTCAGGTCGGAACGAACGAAATCTATGTGTGCGCGGGCATCCGCGCCTGTATATATATGCATTTGTGTGTGTGTGTGTGTATGTGTGTGTGTGTGTGTGTGTGTGTGTGCTTCAATATTAAATCGACTATTTTATTCTTTCATCCCGACAAACGGACTAGCGGAAAAGCTATTGATGATCTAATATTGAAGAACACACGCACACACAGATTTCTTTCTACCTCACCTGAGGAAGCGAGGCGGGAAAACGAGATAAAAACGAGGCGAAAACGCGAGGACGAAAACGAAACGCATAGTCAACAAAATATGCATGCATGTATCTATGTATGTATGCATTGAGTCACTTTTTGTGTGAATATTTGACATGCGTCTGAAATCTATAGGCAATGTCTGAAGTTTGCATATTGCTACAGAAGTAAATGGTGAAAAAAAAAGTGTTCTTTTAATACTTTTGAAAAAAGATTCACATTTCGAATATTTTGGTCGGTTTTCTCAATCAAAAGAATTCTTGGTATTCAGTTTTGTAAAGTGGAAGACGAGGTAAGCTGCAGACATAATCGACCGGCCAGCAGACCCCAGTGGAGTTAATCATTAGAGGCCGCTTATGTGATTAAATCTTATTTACGCTCATAAAGAGGCTAAATATCATCAACATCTTCATTATCCGCCCGATGCTTAATGGACACTTCAGCGGTAGCTCACATTCCTCGAAGAACTCTTCAGGCAGGTAAATAAAAAGCCAACCTTTCAGTTTACATTGCATCGTTACAGGTGATGAAAAATAAACTTTGCATGGCAACAGAAAGCGAAGAATGGTTATCACAAAATGATAGACCAGCGCCAACACCCACTTTGTCACTGGCAGGATGTGAAAAGTGTCGTCCATTACGAGCTGCTGAAACCTGGAAGGACCATCACTGCAGACGTTTATTTCTAACACCTCAACCGGATAAACGAAACATTATATCGAAAGTGTCAGCTTTGGTAAATGGGAAAAAAAGAAACGCTCGATTTATAAAACTGATGTAATGAATATGCATACACCTGGGTTCCCCCTCACAGTAATATGATTGGCTGGTGTCAGCCATAAATACAGACTGATGTGGAGGTACAGAGAGGACGCCTATTGGCCACGCCTATAGTCTTCGCCTATTGCCTACGCCTATTGCCTACCACTACGACGAGGACCAGTCCATTACGGTTACATGCTAGATTGTCCTACTCAGTTACAGTAGTCCAAAACCACTTTGCTACTTCGAACAAATAGATCCCTTTTCGGGACATACCAAAAGCAAACGTAAATAAATAATAAATACCCTTGGAAATCATAACTCTATCTCATCACACCAGCAAGGGGTTAATAAAAGGGCAGAATGAGCTCTCGAGATTTGGTTGGTGAAAGGCAACTCTGATTTCACAACCTGTTAGGCATGTTGCTAGCAAACTTCAAAGATTTGTTTACCACTTTCTCATCGTAATGTAGGTTTTCTTTTACCCTTTCCGTAAATATTTTCATATTTTTGATCAGTTTTCCTCTTTGGTACCTAGACGTTAAGAATTTGAGCGCAGTACTTGATTGGCGGCAAGGTCTCATCATTTTACAGTTAAAATGTTTAGATGTAACCGTAAATTCTATGCTATTTTTGTAGAGTATGTGGTCATGGTTAAATGTAAATAGAACTAACCAACAAACAGAATTGACAAAAAAAAGAAAAAATAATATAAAGTAAGCATATATCCTCGTACCCCAATATAAAGCATGCTTAAGAGAGATATGAAATTAACCCCTCCCTATACTCTACCTTGTCTCTTTAACTACAACTCTCACCACCCTCTGTTAAATTACAAAAATTACACTACCCATCAATTTCTAATCCCATTTTCCCTTTCATTTCGTTGTTGGAATTGTTACCTGATGATCCGGAGTCCTTTAAAAGGATTTGGTGAAATAAATTATTGTAATGGTACCTAAAAGTGGTCTGCTTTTCATTATATATATATATATATATATATATATATATATATATATATATATATATATATTATAATTATTTAAAAAAATATGATTCCATCGCTACATAAGAGTTCTCATGTTTCAAAAACAGAAACTAAATACTTCAATTTCATTTATAGAAATAAAATTAAATTAAAGCAGATAGTTCTGTTTCATCCTCAAGCGAATTTTGGAATAATTAATTTTGAAATTTACAGAGCTTTTTATATATATATATATATATATATATATATATATATATATATATATATATATATATATATATATATATATAATTTCTATGGATGTGGAGAAAACTAATCATTTTAATAAAGGGCGGAAGGGTATTCATTTTCACTGACAACTATTGTATCAACATATTAGTTACTTTAGAAAAGATGTTAAGTCAAGGTAGGATCGGGGTGCCTTTTTTTTTTTCAAACGAATGATGACATCTGTTCAACGCACATCGTCTGGTCTATTTTAACGACAGAATTTTTTGGCATTTTTGTTACGCTGTTAAAAATATATATATATATATATATATATATATACATATATATATATATAATTATTTATTTTAAAATATGATTTCAATTCGCGACATAAGAGGTCTCATGTTTCAAAACAAAAGCCGAAAACTTCAATATAATTATTTGAATTAAATTGAGTTAAAGTAAGCTCTGTTCCATCTTCAAGCGAAATTTTTTTTGGAATAACGTATTTCTGAAATTTACGTGTTTTAATAATTGAAATCAAAATTTCCATGGTAACAGCTAGGTCGAATTGTTTAAATTGGGTAGGCGTGTGTTGGGTGTTAATAATAAGTATCAATATAGAGTTACTTTCATAAATGTCAAGTCAGGGAAAGGTGGGGGTGTCTAAATTTGAAACGGAAGATGTATTAACACTAGTCTGGTATGCTTGTCTATGGAGATTTATTTATTTTTTTATTTTATTTTTTTATGAAAGGGATTTGTGCATATAAAAAAGCTGCCGTAACGTTTGTTTTTTGACGACTTCATAAAGGGTTATCTTTTTTGTAGGGTATTTAAACTATTTATTTGGGCTATGGATTATGAAAGTTATTATATTGTATGCTTGTTCTTAGCTAATTATTCAAACCATAAATCTGATGATGTCGACAAAAAACCGTTAACTCATGTCTATTGTTTAATAGATTATTATTATTTAGAAGCTTAGTAATGTGCAATTTCTCATGGAGGCACAAAGGGCATGGGTCATCCCAAGTTTTACATGTTCTAGCCCTGTTTATAATTTTCCAAATATATATATATATGTATTAGGTTGGTGCATAATTATCAGGCGAATTTTCTTTCTAGAATTGTCAATATTGACAATTCTAGAAAGAAAATTCGGATTGCCAACACACAAACAGAGAATGTCTCATATCGAGAACATTTCACATTGAACATGAAGAAAATTAATTATTTTAATAATATGTAGAAATCTCCACTTTTACCTGAAGACGGTCGCGAGACCAGAAACACGTGTCGTAGTAAAATTATGTAAAACAAAGCATAATATTTTTTCTAAATAAATCCACATTACAACCAAAAACGTTTGCGGCACCTCTTCTTTTTTAATATACATACTTTTCTCTCGTTGGAACCACTACAACATATTTCTTTTATGTATGTATATATATACATATATATGTATATATATATATATACATATACATATATATATATGTATGTATATATATATATATATATATATGTATGTATATATATATATATATATATATATATATATATATATATATATATATATATATATAATAGCTAGCCACTCGTATTCGAGGATACCTGTCTACTAGGGCAGCTAGCCAGTCCCTATTGCAGACGCTCGCTCAGGCACATTTGTGTTTTGCTCAACGCTCACAGAGCCCACCTGTGGTTTATACTGCAACTATGCTGAGCAGACCTTAGTTACA